GTGGAAATAATACATAAGCCACCTGCAGCAGAACACATGCAGTAATACAACAACAGCCCACATACTGCATGACCAATCCATAGTGTCATCGATTCCGCTATGCCACAAAATGGGGCCACAAAAAGTCCATGCATTCACATGGCCGGGCTGTGTCTCTCTCCATTTCCCTCTCTGGCTCACTCTCAATTTCAGTCTGTGCTGCTCTCTCGCTCACTTTCAGTCTCTGATTTGCTATCTTCTTCAATCTCTCTCAAGTCTAGGTATGCCAGAGGCATGCGATGAGATTATAGTGATCCAGTCAGCCTTACTGAAGCCTGGCTGGAAACTAACTCGTGTTAATCTGAGAGCAGTAATGAGAAAGTATTAACTACAGATAACATCCACACTCACTGATTCTCTCCACAATAGGCTTCCGTACAATCGCCTAATCATTAGAACCTAATGTATGTGAAGACAGCAAGACTACTTTACCTCTTAAACTGATAAATGAGGAATGATATTTTTAAAATCTTAAAGGAATATTCCAGTGTCAGTACCAGTTCAGTTCAGTTAAGTCGACCGCATTTGCCATGATGTTGATTAAAAATGTTTGATGAGGTCAATTCGTAAGTATTAAAATACTCACAGTTTCAATAGTATAGACACACAATGTACATAATTTGTGTTAATATGATTTAAATGTGAAAAAAAACTTACTAACCTTTTCTATGTAAGGTTAAACATCAAATTTTACAACTTTGTTGCCATGAGTCACAACACAAACATTTTAGTGCATTTATTTAATTATAAGATCTCTATTGTGTTTTTAAAACCTCCAAATTCTTGCCCAATTAAACTTACATTGTAAGTACATCAATGCAATCTCCATTTCTGCATTTTTGAAAGAAATAATAGTCTATTTTTTTTTTTTTTTTTTAGAAATCAACATTAAAATCAGAAGTGTAAATGCTGTTGAATGAGCTTAACTTGTATCGAATCTGGAATATTTCTCAAACAAGACAAAGCGTAATGCAGGATTTGATTTTGTCCATCGGGAATTGATTGGATGGTTGTGGTTTGCTATTGCAGGAATCTCATACGAGTAACAGGTTGCATATTTTTTATGCTTTCTTTCTTCAGATTGAGAAATGCCTCATCCTGCCAAACTCTCTCCCGCACATACTGTCATGGTCCTCCTCATTCACTTCTCTGCCTCCCTGGTTTCCACACTGTGGTCTGTTGCTGCTGAGACAGCAACACTTCAACCCCAGGAGCTTATAAAGTGTTGTGTAACCTTAGATATGCGTGGGAGTGCAGACTTCTTTCAAACTGCCTGTTGCTGCAGTGGCACTGACACAACTTACATTGTCTGAGTATTCGGGTCTTTGCAACCCTAACCAATTTCTATAGAACACAACAGCCTCTTTAACCCTTTAAGGGGAGGAACTGCTTCTGAACTAGTACTGTTAAAGCTACTTGAAACTCATGACAACAGTCTTATCAGAGAACCAACAGTGTGTACAGTATGAGTAAGTTTATCACACATTCATTATGATAAGAGCAAGCTTGTGCATATTTAGTAGGTGAGGGAATTACATTGTACTTGACAAAACAGAACATAACCACAGGCTGACAAAGACCCTGTGCCAAATGCCACGCAAATGTGACCGTTCTGAATCATTCAATGACACATGGGACACCCTGCGGTCTCACAGCCTTATTTGCGCATGTCTGTGAAGATCCATATTATAAGGTCCATATAATTTAGGACAGATGGCTGCAAACAATGTTTAAAGTCCCATCCTGCACTAAAACAGATATTTAAGAGTGCCTAAAATGTTCAACTATTATTGAAGTCCTGTTCACACCAGGGATGATAACTAATCAAAGCTAATGCAATAACTGTCTCCACATGCATTGGCATGATAACGTTCAGTTTATCATAAGCAAGCGCTGCACGTTTGTCGTCCGCCACTTTAAATGCTCAAGATCTTTAAATTTCTCTGTGTTGTTATCGTTGTAGCTGTGGTGTGGACTTCCGTATTCTCTAAGAATTAGAATGGTTCTTAAAACTTTATTGTTATAGTTGGTGTCAACTTATCTTAAGTGTGTTGTGTGATCTTGACTTCAATTTTAATAATCGTTCTAATTATATGAGAATAGTAGGGGTGTAACGATACCCTCATGTCACGATTCGATACATATCACGATACTGAACTCACGATACGATATTATTGCGATACTCCAAGACATTTGGCATTATCAGGACCCACAAATATTCCCCCATTGCATTATTATACATTATAATCAACATTATAGTAGTTTAATGTAGTACTTACACTAAAACTCTGAAAACTTGATACTTGAAAACCACGATACGTATTGTTGCATTTTTGTATTGCGATATATTGTGGCACGATATATTGTTACACCCCTAGAGAATAGGGAAGTCCAGACCACAAATATATGATAACGATAAGGAAAAAATAATCAGAACGATATTTTCCAGCTGATGATAAAAATCATTGGCAGCCTATCAGAATTCACCAAACTTTAAAGAGTTCAAGCATCTAAAAGCGGCGGACGACATAACTGCGATGCAAGTTAATAATAAACAGAACATAATGTTGGACACACTAATATAGTTATTGTATAGTTATCGTTCTTTTAATATGAGTGTGCAAAATTTGGCCCTACTAGGAAAGAGGCTGCAGATATTCAGACCAACAGCCTGATTGAAATTTACTTTTTTACAAAAGTTCAATAAACAAGAAGTTAATGTTGAGTAACTTATGTGTTGGACCCAGTATTGCGAGTTACTTCGTCTACTGTATTTACGAAAATAGTTCCAAATTCCAAACAAAATAATAGCAGGATCAACAGTTCCGCATCTCCGTGCAGTGGTGCTTTATTCCTGAATGAATCACAAAACAGCTGAATTAAAAATGATTCAATGACTATAAAGTCACTTGTCGCCACCTACTGTCAAAAAAAAGGTAACCTGAAAAAGGTTTCACTGAAAAATCCAAGACACAGACTGTCTATTGTCTAGAGTCTAGACCACGCAAACATGGAAAAGTCCGAAAATTTTGTCCTAACCCTACCCATAACTTATCCCAAAAATCAGCGTGAAATGACAGGTGAATAACACTAATGTAAAAGCGCCTAACCCTGGTTGTAAGCCAAATCTATAAACTGTAAACTTGTCCCTTATATCTGATTGGTTGATTGGAATGTTGTTCCAGGAACATTTTGTACTTGGTGAAATCACGTTCACCCATTCACTCAAAAGCTCCTCGAGCATGTTTTAATGGAAATATCTCTTTTCCAATGTTCATAACTTCATCACCTCAACCATCTCTGACTCAATTATCTCTGTGCCTCCTACAGCTCTGCCTCTCGCATTCTTGAAGATTAATCTTTGGACTGAAATAATAATGCATAAATCATTTCATCTCATTGTTATTTCTCCTTTTCTTTTTATGAGCGTTTCTCCTGCTCGTCCTCTGCGGAAAAAAATGTAGTTTGTAGTCTCTTATGTGATGCATCAAAAGTTAAATGGGAGAAATAGATTAAATGGGAGAAAGTATATCACTCTCTCCCGCTATCGCTTTCAGATCCTCTCTCCAGTCTATCACGTGGAGGAGGAGGAGGAGGAGGAGGAGGATGGGAGATGAAAAGGTAATCCTTTAGTCAGAGAGCATTTCGTTTTAAGTGTTCATTTTCACATCATACTCAAGCCAATGATTCTCCTAATGAAAGTGATCGTGATGTTGCTACACCATCCTTTACACAGCCAGAAAAAAAACCTTTTCACTCGGCCGTTGTGTCAAAAAAGAAAGCACTGATTCTTAGAACTAATGACCTTGAGGTTAATCTCAACTACAAACTAATAATACTGTAAACAGCGCCAGATGAAGGAAAGAGAATTGAAACGGAAATCCTCTTTGCAGTGGTACTACAGAAGGACAGCACTATTGATCTTAAAATAACAACAAAAAAAGCCACATTTGGGGTGCAATTGCCTCTCCGTGTGGTTTACTAAAAAGTTAATGCAGCCATTTTAAAAGGACCTGATTTGGGTAGTGTGTTATTTATAGAATTACCTATTAACTGCTCCATGGGATTAATAAAGCAAACTAAACTCAAACACCACTGAAATACATCGAAATGTCCTGTTAGACTATGAGACTATCAGATTACTTTTGATATCTAACAAAGACTATAGCACATACAAATCTGTACTTTAATCTACATTCTTCAAGTAGTTAAATACAGACTATATTTAAGTATGTAGGCTATAGAAATGTAGAAAATATAGAAAAAATGAGCTACTATTAAATCTATAATCTATTACTTTGAAATTAACAAACATTACAATATAGGTCTAATGTGTAATAGATTACAAAGAAATAGTGAGAAATGCCATGAAAGTTTAATTTACAGGTTGCCATAGCCTATTCATATTTGAATACATGCTGATCTCCAATAGGCTGTTGGTTTATTTAATGGTGTATTAATAAAAACACATTTGTTTTAGCGTGCAGCTAAATATCAACTATTTTCTACAATATTTATAATGACTTAATGATCAATAAAAGTTATTATAAAGTAGTCAAGCCTTGTTTTGCTGATATAGGCTGCTGTGAATGAGGCCTGATTGAAATGCCCTTCACCTTGACCTGGACACAGGTCAACCTGGCAACAGACGAGTTTTGAATTAGCCTAATATTCATATATGTTTGTGTTCAGTTCTTACAAAGACCACAAAAGTATACTAATAGAGCAATTAACCTACATTTTGAGTGAAATGTTTTGTAGTTTCGTGTTTATGATTTATTTACCAATTAACAGCCAAACATCGAGTTTAATTCTACGTCGTATTGAACCACATCATGCACAAATATACTATTAAATGCTCATATGGTAAATGTATGTTTACTTAAGTAAGACAAGAAAAGCACTGAAACTAAGCCACTGGAAGTCAAATTTGAAGTTTGAAGAACGAAAACGACACTCACCGGCTCGTGCACAAATGTCATCACATAGCTATAGTCCATTTAAGCGTCGTGTCTATTCCATTTCAATTTCTTTTCTAGCACTGTTTTAATTTCAATTAATATTAAAGCACAAGCCAGATAAAGCGGCTGCTGTTTGAGGATGCGTCACATTAAAACGCTTTTCGGCGCGTGAAAGTGTGGCGTGGGCGCTCTCTCTCTCCGCGTGCTCTGCTCCACGCGCGCGCTCACCAGCAGGCAGAAAAAAAACTTCAGTAATCTGCATCCTTTCCTCTCCTCTCTGCATCCTCACATTCTGACTGTCCCTCTTACTTAGTCGTTGTTTCGTGCCATTGACACTCAAACTTACAGTAATGTTTCATTGTTACGTTATATTATCAGAAAATGCTTGTTTCATATCAACATCACAGCAAGTTTTAGCATTAGTGCAATAGATTTACACACTGGCGAGGTCGTTGTTTCATTCCATTGACACTCACTGTAACAAAAAGTTATTTTGGTCAAGTAATGTTGCACTGTTACGTCATATTAGCTGCAAATAATTGGTTCATAACAACATCACAGCGCGTTTTAGTGCAATATAAACTGGCAAGGTCCATTCTAAAGTGGATATGACTGATATACAGCACCAAAGTATAACACACGTAGAATATATATATATATATATATATATATATATATATATATATATATATATATATATATATATATATATATATATATATATATAAGTATGGAATAAATGGGATGCCTCTTACCCTTTAGCCTATCTTACATGAGGCAAAGAAAAAAAAGGAAAAAAAGGATTGAGATTGATCAATGGAAAATGCTCTCCAGGCACGGAAACAGAAACAGAAAGAGAGGCTGACAGAGACAGACAGGCTAAAACAGGATAGAAGAGAAGCGATTGGCTATCCAAAATAGATTATTAATTTTTCAAATATATTTGGTTATATTATGGTCAACATGTGTTGCTCATAGTTATAGACTGATTGTTTTATGTTTTACAGCCATAAAGCCATGATGTGGAGGGTTTTGATTAGTCGATCAAAATAAATTCAAATACGTTTGCATAATTGATAAATTGAAATAAAAGTCAACGTCATTTAATTTCTTGTTACGGGTGAGGTTTCACATATGAACCACTAGAGGGCAGAATGTTTCTATGTCATCAGACTGAACAAGCTCTTTCTGTTTTGATGTAATAGACAGTGAGAGAATAATAATGTTTTCTTTTGATTGGCCACTTGCTGAACCAGTACAAATTTTGACAGCTAACACGATTCACTGTGAAAAAGTGGCTTGTTACATAAGTGCAAAAAAAGAAACTCACCTGGACATGGTTACTGCATGCGACTGGCTTAAACAGTGGAATGAATGTGCCTCTAAATGTAAAAGAATGTGTGGTTTTACAATAAAACGGATCTGTTTTAAGTTTTATAAGATGAAAGTGGCCTTAATAGCGGTGTTAATTTGCAGTTTTAAAGTCCTATTTATAATATAACCACATACTATTTTTTGTACAGCCTAATAAACTTTAGGACATTTGGACTTGTTTTTGAGAATTGCTGTAGGCTACCACACTCTGTCTGAAGCTTATTTCCACATCACTATCATTTGTTTTGCCTGATTAAATGCTTTCTGCTTTCAATTAAAAAAAGAATATTACATTAATTAAATAATAATATAATGACATGCAAAAATATAGAATTATATAAGTTATAAAAAAAAATACAAAGCTAAATTTCACCTGAATGGACATCAAACTAAATGTCCTTCCACTCACATGATGTCTGAACTGTGTAAGAACAATGATTTAAGGGCATACACAAACTGCATTTGGCTATGCATAGAGGGTCAGATTCATTACAATAAAAAATAGCATAATTAATAATACTGGAACTAAACATTTCTGTATTCAGAAAAACAAAAACAAATAAGTTACAGTATCTTCCACATGTGAGTTATTAGATAGCATGATTGGTTAATTTTCATGGAAACTGGGATTATAAAATCTAATTTCCATAAATGCAGATGTAATCCTCTGCTACCTTTCAGCACATGTTCAGTGCGGTCAAGGAACAAGATAAACATCCAACTGAACAAATGCCAATCTCCACTGGAGTCTGATTCAATCTCTGTACCTTGGGTTTGCCAGATCTATAAAACGCTGAACTGAAAGTCAGATTCACTCAGTTTGTTTTTTGTTCTTGCAGTGGTAGAAGCTCAAAAAATGACAATTTTGGGGAGATTTAGATAAACTGGAGTTAAGTAGAAGCTCACAATAGCATTTAACCCTCTATGGCATGACTTTTAGATTTTTGGGGAGCTTTGGGGTCCCTGATAATATATCCATCATAAAATCTGTCCCATTTACACCAAACAAACACTACACATACTCTCTCTCTCACACACACACACACACACACACACACACGCGCGCGCGCGCGTTACTTTGCTGACTGACCCGTAACTGACCCCTAGCGCAGGGCCGGATTAACCATTAGGGCAACTGGGCACTTGCCCAGGGGCCCACGACATCTAAGGGGCCCTGGGCACCAGGGGCGGAGTGGCAATCGGGAGAGTCGGGAGTTTCCCCGGTGGGCCGGTAGTGTTTCGAGGCTGCGAGGGCCGGTCTGATAAAATGTATTCATTGCAAGTTCGCCATGCGCACTTGTGGCCCAAGCGAGGGGAAGAAAAAAAATATTTTAGATAACGGAGCGTATATTTGCACTAAGTGCCCGTCTTTTTAGCAAAAAAGACGCGTCACAGAATAGCTACAGTGGCGTAGATCGTAATGCGTGAAGTGCTTGAAAGCAGCTTTTGATGCGCTCGACCCGAGTTCGAATCCGCCTTTTGCCGAACTCTCTCTTCTCCCTTTTCCCAACACATATGAGATGTAAAATGTATAACCTAACATAAAGGTCTCTAGCGTTATATTTTGCCAACGAACTCAAATCGAAACCATGATGGCTTTGTGCCTTTATAAAACAGCACAAGACTTTAAGAATAGGCATCCTGTTTGTGCTGAGTGATTGAAAGAAAAGTGCACTTTGCTCACGCGATCAGCATGGTTATCTGGTGTTTTCTCCTAAATAAAAGCTCAAGGGTTTATTTCTTGCAAGTGAAGAAATTAGGACAAAAGTATTTTAATTTTCCTGTTTTATAGTGTAATGTAGACTAAAATATACTTTTAAAATATTCATTTTCATTTATATAGTACATTTATAGGCTATGGATTTTGCGTCATAGGAATAATTATATAAATCATTATTAGATTATTATAATAATTGTTTGGCATCCTAAAACACCATTGATAATGTAATGTAGACTGAGACTCTCATAACTAAAAAGATGTTTGAGCCCTCTTTATTTTCCTGGTACAAATCAATGCTTTTTCTTTGTTCAACGAGCAGTTCATGGGTTGAAGCTCTTAATTTTGATCTCTCAAAGAGCACCAGATTGATGCATTTAACCTTAAAATGTACAACATTTTCTTGCGGGGGAGCATGCCCCCGAACCCCCCTAGAGGCACAGAGGTCCACCCAACATAGCTTTAGAAAATTATATGGGAAAGAACGACCATTTATGAACTTTAATCCAGCATAGTACAACAAAGTTCCTTTTAAGTCAGTAAAACTGTAAATGCCATATAAAAATGTCCTTGGACAAAATATACATTTGGCCTGCGTAAGGGGGGGCCTACAAGACATTGTGCCCAGGGGCCTCTGAACTCTTAATCCGGCCCTGCCCTAGCGTCCTAACTGTCTCTCAAACCTGATTCAGGGATCCACTCTTCCTGACTCTCCTCAAGCTCATGTCCTCACTCTCAGAAGGAATGACCCTAACCATGTTCCTTTTCACCCATAAAACATTCTTGTGTCCATTTCCTGCAAGAATCAGTATCGCAAAAACATTGATGCGTTCATGTCAGAAAGATTGTGATTACGAGTTTAATGCACATGAACGTCACCACAAAGTCGTAATTACGGGTGGGAAGCAATGGCGGAAGAAAATAGAGTAACGCTTTAGATTACAGCCTCGAAAGTACTGCGTAATTATAGCGAATTTACAACTTAACCTTCGGTAATTATAGTGTACCTACAACGTACTTACAATATAAGTATAAGGGAACAATATTTTAAGTTTGGGGAATAAAGGGGTAACAACCAGGAGAATTAAAAAAAATTATTTATACTGAAAGTATTATAGAACTAATGGGTACTTATTCTACTATTATGATATAACAATCTTACATTTGGGTGCAATTTAGCGAGAACATACACTGCGTACCTTTTTGAAATAATGGTGAACCAGTACTGTATAGGCTTTTTAAAAATTACAGGGTACATATCTATGCATTTATAAAGTAATCTTTTTAACAAAAGTGCACTGAAAACGAAAACTATTGCAACTTTTGCTTAAATATTGGGGAAAGATACTCTTGTTTCATGTGGTGCTTGTACCCCCTTGTTCCATGTAGTTACAGGGTAAGTGTGACATTGCGGGCTGTAAATTAAAGTGGTGCTTGTTACCCTCTTGTTCCATGTAGGTACAGGTGTAAGTACAAAAAACATACACACAATCTTATATCACTGACTCAGAAACCTTTATTTATTATACAAGCACCACTTACCCTCTAACCAGATATATTTCCCAGTATTTAAAATTGCAATAGTCTTAGTTTTTTTTGCCTTGAAACATGTAAGCCCAAACTTAAACATCTGCACTTTTGCTATCAAAAAAACAACAACAACATCTATACAGTATGTATTGGTTCACAATTATTACAAAAAACACAGTGTATGTTCTCGCTAAATTGCTCCCAAATGTAAGATTGTTGGATCATAATAGAAGTAGAATAAGTACCCCTTAGTTCTATATTACTTACAGTATAAATATATTTTTTAATTCTACTGGTTGTTACCCCTTTATTCCCCAAACTTTACATAGCCTATTGTTCCCTTATACTTACCTGCAAGTACTTTAAAGGTACACTATAATTACAGAAAGTTACACTGTAAATTCCTCATAATTACACAGTACTTCCCAGGCTGTAATCTAAAGCGTTACCGAAAATAGTTTTCAATCATGATCAATTTAATTCTGAATTCCAACAGTAATTTGGGTTGTACATGTTATGTGTACTGTTAAAGAAGAAGAGAGATAAAGTATAGTATACTCATGTAGCCAGTTTATGAGCTGATATGCATGAGTGACCAAACTACATTTCCCATCATTCTCTGTGGCAGTATAATAATAACAAC